GCTAAATTTATTGTATTTTTCTAGATATCATATATTATTCCTTTGATGACCTATTCTCTTTTTTTATACCATATTGTTTAAACTACTGTTAAATCAAAGACTTATTTTTCTCAAAATTTTCTTAGATATTGATACATAGTATTTCTTCTTCTAGGTGAAAATCAGAATTATTTTGTAAAGTTTTCAATAACTGCATTGGGATTTTGATTGGGATTAAGTTGGAGGAAAGATATATTTCAATATTAACTCTTCCTAATTATTCAAGGACATGATCTAGTTTCACATTGCTTCTTAAGTTTCATAAACTTTAAAGTCCTTCCTAATAGCTAAAGCTGATTAACATTCTGAAATATTCATGCTCTTCTCTTTCAGTTTTTGGCAAATTGGAAACTTAATATGTGAATACCTTTATTGAATAATTCATCTATTTAACTACTGATTTAAAACCTTTTTATTGGTACTAGGTAATTGTCATGGACTGTTCCCCTTTAAAATTCATGTTGAAGCCCTAAATCCACCTTCACTCATAGTGTGATGGTATTTGATTTGGAGATAGGGTCTTTGGGAGCAAATTAGGGTTAGATGAGGCCATGAGGATGAGGGCTCTATGATGAGATTAGTGCTCTTATAAGAAGAGATACCAAAGAGTTTGGTGTGTGTGTGTGTGTGTGTGTGTGTGTGTGTGTGTGTGTGTATTTTGGCACAAAGGAGTCATATGACTATCTACAAAGCAAGGGGAAAACCCTGACTATAAACTGACCAAGCTGGCACCTTGATCTTAGACATCCAGCCTCCAGAACTATGAGAAAATAAATTTCTGTTGTTTCAGCCACCCGGTATACGGTGTTTTGGTATTTTGTTATGACAGCCCATGCAGATTACTACAGTGTTTATATTACTTAGTCTCCCCCGAGCTCTAGGTTACCCTTGGCTTCACAGCCCAAGGAAATAGTACAATTGAATGAACTAATGTGGTGATAGAAAGGGGTACTTTGTGATGAATACTTATTTTATTGAATTGCTTTGCACAATGATCAAGTCAGGAAAAATGAAGATTTCTAAGTTGCCTTATTCCCTCATTCAAAATTAAAATAAATGTTTAGTTCTACAGACAAATTGCATATTTCTAGAAATGTTAGCCTTCCTATTTTATTGCACAGAATTCCAATAAGAAACTTGGTCATTGATGTTTAGTGACCACAATGTTAATATTTGGGCATATCTGGAAGTAGGAACAAAAGCACCTTTCTAGCCATTCCCTATAGTTGTGGAACATTTTAGAGTTTGCTACATGTCGTCATATGCAAAATTTTCTTTCTGCAAAAGAAATTCAAATGATGTGTCAGTCTCATTTTATGGATGAAGCAAAGAGTTCGGAGAAATGAAATATCTTTTGCAAGCATAAAACAAGGGCTAAAATTAATTTATTCCATTGAGTGAGATTATTTTCTGAGAACTTACTGTGTGCACAGTATGGTCCCAACACAGGCTTTTATCTCCTGTGGTGGTAGGATCCCCCAGCATCTGGTGTAGCTTCTTGGCTGCCTTATGGCTGCACTGTCCTTAGCTCAGGGAGCTCTTGGTGCCCCCAAGATCCAGCTCACCACTAGACTCTGAATCTTCCGACAGATATGTGGTGCTGCCTCTCCTAAGGGGCAAATCTCTCTCTGCCAGTCTCTATCAATGAGTCCCTATTGGACCAGTAACTGAAAAGGGCTTCACTTGACATCTGAGGTGTTTGCTTTGGAAGCTCTCCTTTAACTCTGCCCTTCCCTATTTCCCTCCCCCTCCCAATTATTCTGCTTTGTATTCAGTAAAAGTGAAGTTGGACATTTAACTTTGGGTCCAAATGAGAAGCTAGGCAGGCAACATGAAACCCTCAGGCTTTGATTTACTCATTGTCCTACTTTATCCTGAACCAAACCTTTCACTGGCAGTTCAGTAGCCATTGGTAGTGAAATAACGTCCCAAATACAAGATTTGTTGCTTGGTGAAGTAGAAAGAAGAAAAAAAAAATCACATTGAAACAGTAGGAATTTATAAGGCAAAACAAACAAACAAACAAACAAAAAAAACCCACAATGAAAATAATGCCACATTTAATTGAAAAACAGGTGAAAAGACAAGTGGCATTTAGTTTCATCTTGTATTGATTGTATAGAGAAGATAAATCAGAACCAAGATATGCAGTACAATTGTCTATATTTAAACTTTTTGTTCTGAAAATTACTTATATCTACATATTTTGAAATTTAATGGAAGAGTGTACAACTTAAAGATTGTCTTTGAATTTAAATATGAAGTTAACTTTTTCTTATTCATTATATAGTAGCCTTGTGTTGTTTTTTTAAAATCATCTTTACATTTATTATGCCCTAGAAGTAAAAAAAAAAAAGTCATAAAAGGAGTAGATGCTTTCAGCACTTTAGAAATACTAAAGTTGCTTTAAATACTTTCAATAGAACTCCACTGGAACCTGTGTTAGAATGGTACAGAATTGCCAAATCAGAAGGTTTCCAATATTTCATTAGTAATAGAGTTCTCAGAAGAAATCTTGTGATAGAGCTATCAGCATTAATTCAGCATGTTCCCTGAAATTTCCACCCTCAGGCCCCTAAATTCTAGGGAAAAATAATATAATTTTCTTTTACAGAGTAGAGAAAAGGAGCATAAAGGTATTTAGTTAGAATAACAAAGATTAGTGTTATTTAGGTAGTATTTAAGCTTGAGCTCTGATATTTTAAATAAATAATAATTTAGTATTTCCAGGTTTTAAATTCCTCATCTGTAAACATGAAGATAATAATCCTTATGTCATAGAATATCTTAAATGATTAAAATGAAAATATTTGATATAAAAATGTTATGAAATGCAAAAAGAAAAAAAAGATTGTTGAGAAATCAATATATGCCAGATACTATAGTTAAAGCTGGGGCTCTGAAGAGCTATGTTAGGTACAAAATTCTACCACACTAAAATTTTAAATCAAATCATCAAAAAAATGATTTTAATAATCCATATTTCATTCTAAAAGAATCTCTTAATCTTAATATATTTTAAGGATTGCTTATTATAAAATTTCAAAAGCAGAGTTAATCAACAATGGAAAATAAAAATATTTTCTATAAATTATTTCTTTTTAAATGTGTCTTGTTGGCATACTAATAATTCATAATAAAAAGAGTCTGGATAATGTTTTACATTTTCCAAAATAGTTTTAAAAGGGAACCCTAACTTAGATATAATAAGTTAAATAAGCATACAATTTAAAATTTAACAATATAAAAGTCTGACCCACTGAACTTGTATGCATATATGCATAACTCATGGACACAGACAAAGAGTTGGTGAGGGCCTGTGGGTGGGAAGGACTATAGGGGGCTGGAAGAGGTTAATGGGGGAAAAGGAGGGAGGATGTATTACTTCAACAAAGATTTAAAAATAAGTAAGTAAAAAATAAAAGTCTGACCCATTGTTATATTTTTTACTGTTTAAAGACTATTTTATGGATAAAGAGTAAATAATTGGATACAATATTTTAAAACATTCTGTAGACACAGCTTTCTCAAACAGAAATTTAATCCAACATATTACCATGGAGGGGGGATTAAATAAATACATTAGAATATGCTGAAAGGACACTCAGCTTTTACTAAAAATAAAATTCAGTAAATTAAGAAAATAAATATTATAGATTATAAGCTTCAGCTGTTAAAATTAGAAAACTAAGAACCACATAATATATTTTTTCTAGTAGCAATATATGTAATCTTCATATTTATTTTTAAGAGTAATCTTATTACAATATAAATATCATAAGAGTTTAACAAATGTTTCAATAATGTATTTTACTATTTAACACACACATATACATACAAATATTTAGAAAGAATCAGTATCATCTTCTGTTTTTAGATGACAAGAAAAGCCTGATGTCACAGTCTTTTGTTTGAATTTATATAGAAACTAGTGGCCTAGAGCACGAAATTCATGCGGGGGAGAGGGGTTGGTGGGGTTTGTCCCTAGGCCCCGCCTGCACCCTCTGCAATCTGGGACCCCTTGGAGGATGTCTGACTGCCAGCTTAGGCTTGAACTCTGTGGGAAGTCAGACATCCCTTTCTCAATCCAGGATCATTGGCTCCTAACCACTCACCTGCCTGCCTGCCTGATCACCCCTAACTACTCTGCCTGCTGGCCTGATCACCCTCCAATTGCCCCCCCCCCCCACAGCCAGCCTGATCACCTCTAACTGCCCTCCCCTCCTGGCCTGATTGCCCTTAACCGCCTCTGCCTCGGCCCCTGCCACCATGGCTTTGTCCAAAAGGACATCCAGAAGATCTTCCAGAGGGTCTCCCGGTCTAATTAATATATGATCCTATTATTATCATAGTATAGATAACTTGAAAATAGTTAAGACAAATTTTTATGTGTATGATTGGGTCCAATTTTATTTTCAGTAGTTTTTTTTATAATTTCTTTTCAGAAATATTAGCTAGTTATGAGGAAATTTTAAAATTAATACTTGATCCTTAAAAGTCTAATTAAAACATAATGGCATATGTATGTATTTATAAAATAAATAAGCAATAATAAATATTTTGTTTTTTTAATGAGGTAGATAAGTTAAAATATTCTGGAACATGACCTAAACATTAAAAAAGAAAGAAAATAGTAATCACCAATTCAATCTGTATAAATTAAATAGCTGGATAGTTTTTTATTTTTTTTAACACATTTACCATATTTTTTAAGTACAGGCCTCTGAAATACATTTCTACTTTCCAAAAACTTACTAAATTGAAATTCAGGTTTTTCATTTATTTAATCATTATTTTACCTACCTAGGGAATTTGCTATTCAGACCAGATATTTGCAAGTAAACAAAAAATGTACTAATTTTTTATTTTTTATGTTTGTGGTGTTTTCCTTTTACATACCTCATATAGAAAAAATATATCAGGAAAAGGTATTAGCCTTCAGTTGTAAAATAAATAATTAATTACTTAAGTGACAAAGAGTTAATAAAAATTTCAAGGTCTGCTAAAGAATTATGAAGCCCATCATTCATATCTTGACTTCTAAGAAAACTTTTAAGAGTAGCTAAAGCAGTTATTGCCTCATTTTTTGACGGTAAAGGAAGTTCAGTTCCCAGAGATCCACCATCATCCTCTTCATCAGAAGTATAAAATCCAGTTTCATCTGCTTTACTTTCTTTGGTCCATACCACATCACCACTTGGTACTGCTTCACACGTCTCCAAGTCATCGTCCAGGGCAGCATACTCTTCTATAGATAAACCTTCAGGAAATTCCACTCCTGCTGCATGGGCGTGGGCAACCAAATCAAGACCAGTGTTAGACTCTGCATTTGTCTTGTTGCTTTCTCCCTGTTGAGATTTGAATCCTGCCTCTTCATAGCTCTTAGCAATAGTCTCTGGGGTTACAGCCCTCCAACAGAGATGCAATGTATCAACTGCATCTAATAGGGAAAATGTAAATTCTTTGCTGCCTTCAACAGAACTTAAAAATTTCTTGATAAGACAATGTCGATATTTAATTTTAAGGCTTTTAATAACACCTTGTTTCATGGCTATAAATTTGGGAGACAAACATGATGGGAAAAATGCTAACTCAATGGACTTTAGGTTCTTTACCTCTGGATGTGCAGGAAGAGAATCAACAAAAATCACAACTCTTCGTTGCTGGGCTTGAAATTTTTCATCAAGCTTCTGCATCCATTGTTCAAATATATCTGAGGTCATCCATGCCATTCTGTTGGCTTCATAATACACGGGCAATGATTTCATACCTTTGAAACAATGTGGATTTCTGTTTTTCCCAATGATAAGCAAAGGAAGTTTTTCGGAGCCATCCATGTTTGTCCCAACCACAAGGGTTATTCTGTCCTTGCATAGCTTTCCAATGGAGCATGTTTCTCCTTTAAATGCAAATGTATTTGTAGGTAACATTCGATAAAGCAGTCCAGTCTCTTTTATATTAAAAACATTTTTAGGATGATAATCATTTAAATAATAAGGAAGTATGTTTTGGTGCCAAACAGCTGAAGGGTCTACTGATACACTTGTAGCTTCTACAGGTTGAGCTCTGAATACTAAACCATACCTGGATTTAAAGCGATCCAGCCATCCATTACTACATTTAAAATCATTATGTCCCAGTTTCTGGGCAAAATCATTTGCTTTTAGGCGCAACATTGGGCCATTAACTGGTACATTTAGACACTGAGCGATTCGATACCACCTCATTAATGCCTCTTCCAGATCTGTGTAGAAAGCAGTTCTCAGTCTTTTTCTCTTTGGATCAAATCTCAGTGATTCAAAGGCTTCTAGAACTTTGTCTTTATTCTTCATAATAGAGGACAATGAATTTTTCTTTATTCCATATTCAGCTGCAATCTCTGCTTTTTTCTTGCCACTTTCTACTGCATTTATGATGTCGATCTTTTCTTCAATGGACAGACTTTTCTTTTTTTTCACTGTCACAGGGAGAGTTGAGGCATCTGCAGAAGCTTCTGCCATCTCAACCAGTGCTTATATGGAGATTTCTCCTCTTCCTGGTGTCTGTTTCTTTAATTAAATGTCTTTTTCTGTATGACACAATTTGCCGCTTTCTCTCCCACTTCATACATTACAAGTTGTTACGTGTATAATAGTCTTATTCCTATTGATGACTAAATATATATTCTTCAATGGCTCTAGATAAGAAAAATGTTATATGCAACTAGAATAGTTTAGAAGAGAAACTTCCTCCCAAGGACCTTGTGTAGCTCAGTTTATAGTTTATTCAGCATTTCAGAAGTCAAGCTAAAATAGAAATCTCATTATCTCAAACCTGTCCAGTCCTGCTGATATATTTTTAGAACTTCAATCCTTTCAGATGGTTCACTTTATCCATTTGCTCATTCAACCTCCTATTAATTCTCCACAGAAGGCCTCAGAGATAAGAACAAATAGTATTTAGAAATTTCCATGCAAAATGTTACCCATTAATTTCCAAGTCTCTTCAGGATAGAGAAGAAAACGGTAGAATCCTTTTAGGGCTTGACAGTATACCTTCTGTCCCTTGAAAATATAAAAATAAACAAAACAGCAATTTTAGCAATATGTCAAATTAATATAAAATATTTACACTAATGAGTTATGCTTTTAATAATAATAATAAAAAAGAATGGGAACATGTTTCTGAAAATACAATAACCAAAGCAGGAGAAATGCTTACCTTCTGAAGAGCCTCTGTAGAAAGCTCTCTAGCTCTTCTCCGTGCATTTGAATTTTCACTTGCCGTTGAATGCTTTATAATATATACTTCTGAAATAAACCAGACAAATTTAATCTGTTTTGAAAATGAGGGATGACCAAAATTAAAGAACTAAAAATGATGCTGGATATATCTCTGGTGGCTATTTTTTACATGAAGTCACAGACTGCCCCCTCTGACTTCTCTAAAAGAAAAACATAGTCAGACAGTAGTCACAAGGTCCAACTTTTAATAGCACATGAGAGACAGTGTCTCCTTTATGGGAATCTAATAGAAAATGCTTCACTAAAAATTCAATCAAGTGAACTCATCACATAGTTTTAAAATCTAAATATTATTCTATCTAAATGTATCAATTAAAAGTATCTACTAACTTCTGTATCAATTTGATGCATTTGCCAGATGCACAGATGCCAGAAATACTTGACAAAATGCATAGGAATAAACAGATTATTAAGAGGATATAAGGCAGAAAAAGACCTATTGTATTTTCCGGCGTATAAGACGACCCCCTAATTGTACAGTTAAAACATAGGTTTAGGCCTATATTCGCTGTATAAGACTACCCCCCACTTCCGAGGCAACACCAGTTCTTTTTTTAATAGACCGCCTCTCTGACTCTGGTCAATCTGAGCAGGCTTTTTTTCATTTCAAAAGTCGTCTTATATGCCGGAAAATACGGTAAACTACAAAGGAGAGTGACCATAGGTCTTAGTCTCTCTACTTCACTTATCTGTAAAATAAAGGGCTGATGATAGTGTAAAGATATAGGCTTTGGTGCCAGACACATTTGAATTGACAAATGCCTCTGCCACTTAGTACTTATGTGATCATCAGTAGTTTACTTAATTTGACCTCAGTTTTCTTACTTAAAAAATAGGGGTTAACAATACCATCTGTCTCAAAGGATTATTGCACTTTCAATGGAATTCAATGAAAGTGTAAAGCACTTAGAATATTTAGCACCATATGAGATATTCAATAAATGTGTGGTGATGACCTCATCATCCTTATCTTCTCTGTAATGTCACTTTTGTTGTGTCTGTCTATAAAATTCAAGATTTTACAATACAGGATTTGGCAAAAGTAGGTTTATACTTTATTTTTGTATTATTATTTATGAAGTAGAGGCCTGATGCATGAAGATTCTTGCAAGAATGGGCCTTCCTTCCTCAGGCTGCTGGCACTGCCTTTGCTCCTTCTGGAGCCGCCTTTGTGCCTTCCCGCACTGCCCTGAGGCCTGGAGCTGCTGGGGCAGTGTGGAATTCCTGCATGTCGCCATGGTGACAATACAAGCAGCCCATCCTGCCCCTAGCCACTCAGTGCCTGCATATGCAAATTAACCTGCCATCTTTGTTGGGTTAATTTGCATACTCATTCCTGATTGGCTGGTGGGCATCACAAAGGTACAGTCAATTTTCATCTTTCTCTTTTATTAGTGTAGATTAATTACTGTATTACTTGTCTTTTTCCTCTGTGAATAACTAGAAACTTATTTTGCCCACCCTATAGATACTGAAAGAAAAGTTTCTTAAACCAAAGAGTACTGAATCTATAGGCTTTAGAACTACTGCAGACTAAGATAACAAGCTAATTTGATGTTCGGGTGTTACACTGTGTGAAACAGTGTGGATGCTCCATTCCTTTGGTTTTTCTCCCTGTTTCAAGTGGCACATGCATTTGTTTTACACAAATTTTTTTGAAAAAACTTTTTGTCAAAATTCTTCTACCTTTGCTGTCCTAATCAAAGAAGTAATTTTTATCCTAGATTTTACAACCAGTTAAGGAGTTTACTGTTGTTGTTATTTGCAAGGAAGATCTTAATAATAATTATGATAGCCTAGGCTTTAGTTTCTAAACTGCTTTACTTCCTATATTCCAAACAACTCAGGAGAAAGGTCAAACTGGATTTCAAAACTCATCCTATATAATAAAAAGCTAATATGCAAATAGGCTGAATGACAGAACAACTGAACAACCTGTCTCTATGACGTGCACTGACCACCAGAGGGCATGCACGGAACATGGTGGGCACTGGCCACAATGGGATGATGGAGCAGGTGAGTGGGGGCACCAGACTAAGGCAGGTGCTAATTGCTGTCATCAGGGTGAGCCTCTGGAGGTTACTGAAAATTCTTTGTTCCCATATGCTGTGGTCCTACCTGATGCTCACACCTGCTGCTAGTGCTGGCCCCACGTGTACCTGCAGCCAGTGCCAGAGCCGCTGCTCGCACCCACTGTTGGTGCCCAGGGCCGCCCTGATCGCTCAGCCCCATCAATGGGTGTGAGCATAGGCTGCTGGCCCCAATCACCCCCCAGGACTTCTCCACCTCCTCCTGCTCCTGAGGGGTGATCAGGCTGGCAGCCACCTCTGCTTGCATCGGCTGGCCCTGTTCACACCTGCTCCTGGCACCAGAAGGTGCAAGCAGGGCCATCAGCACATGGGAGTGGCAGTGGTGGGAGCGGGATTGCCAGCAGACAGGGAACTGGGGGCCGGGGGCAGGAGGAGTCAGATGGGGGCACAGAGGATAGGCCGAGACCTACCCTCTGTGCCCACCACAGCCTCGTGGCCACCACAGTCTCATGGCCCACAGTTCCTTTCAAGGTGCACGAATTCATGCACTGGGCCCCTAGTATAGTTATAATATGGTTGAGTGCAGTTCGGAATCCAGGCTTCTAATGTCAGGTCTACCTTTTTTTTAAAACTATATTACAGTGTCCTTGAACCATACTGGTGTGGCCTCCTCTGATAATAGTTTCACATTCTATATCCCCAGAACCAATCCAAAGTCGGCATTTCCAATGCCTATCCAAACCTAACAACAACAAAAGCAATATCAGACCTCCATAAAAGAATAGGCCATTATGATGTCTGTAAACACAAATAGCAACAGAGGGAAGGATAACTTTTCTAAGTAAATAAGATTTAACTATTCAACTAGCGTATTTTCCAGCATATAAGACAACTTTTGAAACAAAAAAAAGTCAATCAGGCTTTTTCAGTGGTCTGAATTCAGGTCTCAGCAGAGGGAACAGAGAAAAGAGGACGGATAGAAAACACCTCACTTGGACATCTAGGATGGCACTATACTACCGCCCTAGCAGGCTTTTTACTAGAACACAGTGTAGCTTCGGGTACAGAACATGTATAATTTGCATGCATAAAAAGCCTGCTTGGATTGGCCAGAGTCAGAGAGGCGGTCTATTAAAAAAAGAACTGGTGTTGCCTCAGAAGTGGGGGGTAGTCTTATACAGCGAATATAGGCCTAAACCTATGTTTTTAACTGTAAAATTAGGGGGTCGTCTTATACACCAGAAAATACGGTAAATATATTATTTTCTCATATATGAGTTCTCCTGTATGTTTTGGTGCAATGTCATCTACAATTATTTCAAAGCAAAAATTTATAATTATCTTGTTCTTATTAGGAAGATGCCAACCTTTAGAAATTGAGGTAGGAAGAACCAATTTTTATGAAAAGACAAAACCAAACAAAACTAGTCTTCAAACTCCCAACTTTTCTCACTTCATCCTTTCTTCTTTTCTTTAATCCCTCCTTTTTTCCTTCTACCTTATTTCATTTGTCAAAAAGAAACCCTATTATCTCAAATCACAAGGATTACAGAAAAAGTAATTTGAATTTCCTCCCTTACCACATTCCAAATAAAGCAATATAATATACATAACCAGAGATTACTGGTTATCTTGACCAAATTGAAAAGTGATATGTTGCCCAGCTGGTGTGGCTCAGCAGTTGAGCATTTACCCAGGAAACCAAAAGGTCACCAGTTGGATTCCCTGTCAGTTGTGGGCTTCATCCCCTGTTGGGGCCATCCAGGAGGCAGCCAATCAATGATTCTTTATCATCATTGGTGTTTTTCTCTCTCTATTCCTCTTCTTCCTCTCTAAGAAAACAATACAAAATATTTTTAAAAGAAAAATGACATGTTTATTTAGGAAGATATTCATTATTTTTTTCTGATAGGTAGTAGTACATATTTCCTTATAAAACAGTAGTAGAAGATACAATTTTCCCTGGTAAGATACAATATATCTTTATTCTTGAAATAACCATATTTCTAATACTAAATCAGACAAGCTAGACATTTTCCCTACAAAAGAATAGAGCATCTACTGTCTAATCAAGAAGCTGACATTTTCCATTTTCCCACAATATTACAGTTGGGTGTATGGTAGCAGCTAATATTTCTCAGAAGTATTCATTCTCTCAATTGAACTTATTTAAAAATATTACAGCAG